TAAAACTCACTATGTAAATTCAGAGAACTTAAATTTTAACACAGTATTTAAATGTATTTTCTACTAAAATGGCAAAAAATACTTTGATTCTTTTTAATGTATTTGTTTCTTTTAGGCTATCATGATTAAAAGTTTCTCCCATAGACCAAATTTAAATACTGGTTTTAATGTCAAACTTTTTACAACTTCATCCATCCTACATACTAATTATTTGCTAGAAATATAGTTTTCTGTCTTAAAAATGCCCTAAAATTTAAAAGGTAATTTTTCACATCACATACATACATATATACATACATAGAAAAAAAATTCATTTACTCAGTAATGACACAAAAAGTAACATGATTCTACATTATTAGTCATTTTAAAGAATTCAGATTATTCTAGAAATAATTTTTTTATCCTGCTTTCTCTGTCTTTATCTTCTTGAAATATTTTTCTTTAATATAAGATATTATAAAAAGAAATGTACTGGATCTTACTAGGTGTCTTTAAAATATCATGTGTACATGCAACAATTATTTTTGTTTTTGTAATAAAAATCTTAATAAAAAGATATAATACTTTAAAGGGCAGCATTTAAGGAGATTTGTCCTCCAAACAGTAGTTCATCCTAAATAATCAATGATAAGATTTTTGATAATCCTATTTTTATTTTTGTTTAATCCTCACCTGAGATTATTTTTGCAGAGAGAGAGAGACAGAGAGAGAGAGAGAGAGAGAGAGAGAGAGAGAGAGAGAGAGAGAGAAACATGGATGTGAGAAAGACACATCGACTGGTTGCCTCATGTACACACCCCGACCAGGGGCGGGGCGTGAACCCGCAACCCAGGTATGTGCCCTTGACCGGGAATCGAACCCGAAACCCTTCAGTGCATGGCCCGACACTCTAACCACTTAGCAACACTGCCAGGGTGCTAACATTTTAAATTTTAATTTTGAAGTACTTCAAACATGCTGATGAAAATGGAGAATATAACAAAAATCTTTGTACCTATAATCCATGTTTAACAAATGGTAACATTTTACCATGTTTCTTTAGATCTTCTTTTTTCTTAAGATATAAAATGATGTAATATAATTGAATCCCTATTTTAGAAATCTACCAATTTTTTACAGTTCTTTTTCCCATTATGATTTTCAAGATTTATCCATGCTGACACATGCAGATTCCTTTATTCATTTTAATTTATAGATGATATTCCTCTGATCCACTTGGAATCAATCCCCTGCCAACCCCCCTAATGCTGCTGCTGTTACTTGTTTTGTCTTTTTACATACATGTTAATAGATTGTACCTTATGTTCTGGACTTTACATTTTTCACAAAACTTTCTTATGTTTAAAATATACAATACCAAGATTTATTTTGCACCCCTTCTCAACTTACGGAAAATGAAAAGAAAATTATATTGGGGGACAAGTTTTTCCTAAGAATCTTTTTTTTTTTTTATTGATTTTTTACAGAGAGGAAGGGAGAGAGATAGAAAGTTAGAAACATCGATGATGAGAGAAACATCGATCAGCTGCCTCCTGCACATCTCCCACTGGGGATGTGCCCGCAACCCAGGTACATGCCCTTGACCGGAATCGAACCTGGGACCCTTCAGTCCGCAGGCCGACGCTCTATCCACTGAGCCAAACCGGTTTCGGCAAAGAATCTTTAATGTCATAATGCAGCAGTGAGGTTGGTAGAGAACATATTGATGAATTCCACACATATTCCTAACATTTGATATGTCCCAAGGTTTATAAATAGTCCATTTAGGAGAAATATAAATTAGCTCGACCCTGGTTGCTTTACCTAAGTACTTCATATATAATACAATGTAATAGAATTCATTAATGTAACATAAATATTTCCCTTTTAAAATGTTTTTTTCTCTCATTCTTTTTAGGACTCTGAAGTAATTTTGTTCTAGACCAACTTTCTTTTTATCCTTTAATTTAGCAAATCATTAGGTGTTTTAAGAAGAACACTGTATATTACTCTCTTATTTCTCTTCCTTTTTTAGGTCTGCAATATTTTGATAGCATTTTAATCAATTAAGATTTATTGATTCATTTTATGTGCTTAGCACTTTGCTAAGTATTATTGTGGATATTAATGTAAATAATTAATGGCCCACACGGAGGTTAAAATTTAATTGAAGAGAAATAATTTGCTCATTAGATTACACTAAAGTGCTAATGGTGTGAAGTGAGGTTTGGAGTGGATCATAAAGGATGCTGATGATTGGACTATTGAAAGCAGAAAAGGGAGGATCTTTATGAACAAGAACTCAGATGTTAATACAAGATTGGTGACGAATGAAATGTTTAACCACTTTATAGCTGAGGGTGTACATTTGGGATAATGGGAAATTAAGTAGAATAGAAGGAGATGGTCATGAGGAGTCCAGACAGTTTAGAACTGATGAAGTAGGCAGTGAGATGCCCACATCAATTTCACGTAAGTTAGAGGATACACTTGGTATGTCAGGAGGCCAAGTGGATCAGATCAAGGAGAGGGAGAGCAATTAGAAGGGTTTTGTCAGAATTTGGAAAATTCAACTTAGATGGGGCCTTCAAAGAGTGCATATGCCCCCTGACCCAGTAATTCCATTTCTAAAACTTTTAGGAAAATATCCCAAAATGTGTGGTGTCTGAATGACAGAGAACTAGGTCGTGGCAACATTTTGAAGTAACTTTTCTTTCATGTGTTCCTGCTTCCTGGTACCTTTTTCCTCCAAATTCCAGTGAGTCCAGGGGCAGTGAATTTTCCTGGTGTCTGAAACAGCAGTGGGGTTCCCCTAAGCGGAAAGCTCTGGGAGCCTGGGTGTAGGCACAAGTTTCTAGAGATCTCTAGAGGGTTTGTAAATGAGCTGGGGTTTATGAATTTTCAGAAGTTATATGTAAGATTTCAGATTATATGCATTTTCTAGGCAGAGTTTCAGATTCTGAAAGAAGTCTGTGACCCCACCCAAATCAATAGCTTTGCTTCCTATAAGTTTCAATCTTATCTCTTCAGAGACTACCAGAACCAAATAGAAGGAAGATACGTGATCATATTGTGGCACACCATATGAAAGTGCCAATATTTAATTTAGCAGCTATTGAAATCTATATATATAAAAGGCTAATATGCTAAGTGTCCAACTGTCCAACCAGTTGCTATAACGCACACTGACCACCAGGGGGCAGATGCTAAACGCAGGAGCTGCGGTGATGCGCGCTGGCCATTTACAGAGAAATGGCACAACAGACCTGGTGCCCACAAAACAACACTCAGCTTCTCCCAAGTGGGACACAGGCCCCGCCACCACCCCAGAGCAACAGCCACCAAATCACAGCTGATGCTGCCGAGACTCCATGGTGCAAAATGCAGCCCACAGCCCAGCCCAGCCTGGAAACGGTGGCTGTGGGTGCCGGGTAATGACGTCATGTAGCAATGCCCGGCTTCCTTTCTCTAGTGACTAGCCTTCTTGGAGTTTCTTCAGCCCAGGAACACGACTTTCTTTAAAGCCAGGTGCAAACATTTTATACTTTAACCAAATGTCTGTGGAGCGTTTTCCCATGCCTCATCTCATTTGATCCCCACAGAAGTCCTGGAGCAGGTAGATGGGAGACTTGGTGGAATCCTATTTTCTGGAAGACGGGGATTTAGAAAGCTTATAAACTTGACCCGACTGAAGAGAAGTAAGAAATGGTGGACCTTGAAAATGACTTCAGGTTTTCTCACTGCTCAGAATATAGTCAAAACACTGCTGCAGTTAAATATTTTACCCTTTGTTCTCCCTGCATAATCTACAATAATAATGTGCTTTGTGTTGATATTTACTGCTGTGTTGCTGACAATTACCTGAAAGAGAAGTTGGGCTGCTTCACTGGGGTGGAAAAATCTTAGCTAAATCAGAAAGCAGGTCTAATTAAGCAAGTTTATTCTATATCTATAAGAGGCTAAGTTGACTTGCGCATGTGCGATACATATAAAGCTCTTGCTGGCACCAATCGCACACATGTGTTTCAATCTGGCATTGTTGATTGTGAATTTGGTTGACACTTCTATTACAGAGAAAGGGCAAATAGTGATATTAAAATATTTCTTCTAATTAATTTCCTTTCAATGTGCACAAATTTGTGCACTGGGCCACTAGTAGAAAAATATCAGTTTTATGATCTAACCTGATATGTCTTTAAATAACTTTGTTTGCACTTCTTAAATGTGAAAGTATTCAGTTAAGGAGTATAGGAGATATAGTTAAGCAGTATATGTTCAATTTTGTGTTTAAATATATTTATTTCAGTAAGGTAATTGAGTTCTAATTATATTTCCTCAGTTTCTACATTCCATAAACTTAATGTCTTAGCTATAGATTTTTTCAGTTTGTGCAGTATTAGCAGTATTTCTCTTGTGGTAAAATAAGGACAGGGAAATGATAGAAAGAGAAAAGATAGGGGAACAAAAAGATATATGGTATAGGAAAAGAATGGCAAATAGGTTCAAAGTGTTTACTAAATTCGATTGTTGGTTAGGCTGTGCCTGGGGCTCTTTGATAGGCAGTTCTTGGGCTGTTTGACTCAGGCACAAAGCACCAGGATGGCTCTGCCTAGTCTGTTGTTTCTGCCATGAGTACTGGGGGGCTGAGCAGTGGGAGGCTGAGCACTTGGGGGGCTGAGTGATGGGACTCAAATTGCTGTGCCATTAATTACGCACATTTAGTTAGAATTTCTTTGTTAGCTAGAGTATTACACTTCTTCAAAATGATGTATTATCTGACTGTTATAAGTGTAGTTTGGCAATTGAAAACCAAATTTAACAATAAGCTATTTCTTGGAGGAATTCTGATAACCTGTAATAATACAATTTAGCTCAAGGTTAATGTCTTCCTTTCTTTTTTTATTTTCTCAATTTTCACCATCCTTTAATTTTCATCTAAGCAAGAAATGAAAAGAAAAAGAAAAAATATAATTGAAATGAAGAAACATTTTAAACCTAACCTTTTTTTTTTTCTCTTGCAGGTTGCTTTCTGATTCTAAACAGCTTGACATTTTAAGAAAAGCAAGATCTTATATAAAACAGGAAAATTATGATGAAGCAGTAAGTATGCAGGCCTTCTATATATATATAAAAGCCTGAACGACCAAAAGACCAGTCGCTATGATGCGCACTGACCACCAGGGGGCAGATGCTCAACGTGGGATGCCCCCTTATGGTCAGTGTGCTCCCACAGCGGGAGCACCACTCAGCTGACCAATGGGCACCAGATGCTGGGCTCAGGGCTGGCAAGTACAGCTGCAGCAGCACAAGCCTCTCCTGCCTCCACGGCAGTGCTACTGAGCAGGAGTGGTGCAGCGGCTGGCCCAGCCCGGGCTTGGGCTCCTCCCCGGCCATTTGCCGCTTCACACACTACTACATCCCTCAGGGGTTGTCGAAACTGGCAGTCCGACATCCCCCGAGGGGTCCCAGATTGCAAGAGGGCTCAGGCCAGGATGAGGGACCCCACCAGTGCACGAATTCGTGTACCGGGCCTCTAGTGTATATATAAATAGCTAATCACCACTTTGGGTGTGGAGAAGGGCACAGTGTGGCAATGGAGAGCAAGGTGGGCAGGCCAGGGAGCTTTCCTGAACCCTCAAGGAAAGGCTGACTTTCTTAAGTAGCTGCTTTAGCCCTGGACATACTTCTCTTACTTCAGATGGAATTATGGGTAGATGTTTTGGGGTTAGCATTGGAAATGAACAGTTGCTATTTTCTATAATGAAAACGTATAATCCAAGTTTCTGTCACCTTACTTATGCATAGCATTTTAGAATGTCATATATTTGTACATTTAGAATTATCAACACATTATCAGAAGTCTACTGATTCATATAGAAGCTCTGACTTCTCCCAGCTCCTACTACACTATGCTTTTCATTAATTTTCTCTTTGTTAAATGGTCATATAGTTTTAAAGTAGGAAAGAATTCTATTTTCAGTTTCTAAAATTGCCTATGTAATACCATGCATATCTAGTGCTTATTTTTCTCCTCTGAAATATTCATCTTATTTTAATGATGTTTTATGACTGATTTTGGTAATCTGAGAAAATAAAAAATAATATGCAGGTGGGCATGTTCATTATTTGGGACCTATATTAGAGAGCCTTTATTTCTTTCTTTAATCTGTCATCTGAAAATAATTTCTACAAAATGAAACATTTTAAATCTCTACACATTTACCTGGTAAGGTGCTCTTATCAATATTTAAAAATTCATTTTATTCAAGAATTTTTCTTGTACTTTGCAAAAAGATCCTTGAACAATTAAAATCTATTTTTGATTGTCTATAGTTACTCTGATTTTAGTAATTTTTCTTCCTTTGAAACTTAGGTTTTATATTCATCCCATGTGGCATGTTACATTTTTCTCTCTCCCTAGGTCTTCCTTTGCATGGAGCTGATTCATCTCTCATTGGAAGGATTGACCTATTATCACACTTATGACAGATTCTTTCTGGGCATCAATGTTCTGCTTGGTTTTGTGGGATGGGCATCTTATGCTTCTTTGTTGATTATCAAATCTCATTCCAGCCTTACCAGAGGTGTTAGTAAAGAAGTTAAGGTATGTTTAGAAAATATCATGACAATTTAGATGTTGGTGTAAAATCACCAACACTGAGCAAAGAAACTGAATAAACGCAACTATAATGAGTTCATACATTGTGTAAATTGTGCTAAGCTAACTCTTGTCTTTTATTTATTTTTTAAATATATTTTTATTGATTTCAAAGAGGAAGGGAGAGGGAGAGAGAGATAGAAACATCAATGATGAGAGAGAATCATTGACCAGCTGCCTCTTGCATGTGCCCACACTGGGGATTGAGTTTACAAACTGGGCATTTTGTTAAGCTCTTTACACAATCTTATTTAAGCATTACCAACCTTGATAAGTAGATATGGAATTATTGTTCCCATTTTATAGATGGGGTGAAATTAAGTCTTGGAAAAGTTTTGTACTTTGCTCATACTCATAGTCATACAGTGAGCAAGTGATAACACCCATGGGCCATCCATGGTGACTTTACATTGAGGAGCTCCTTGTTTGGCAGGTGGTTGGAATGGAGATATGACTGAATGAACCCACTGTGGATGGGCAATGGAGAGAGAAGCGTGAACAGCATGTCAAGTTGGAATTTGAATAGATAGGAGCATCTTTCCAAATAAAGATTAGGTCCCACAGTTTATTGTGGATTAAATGGGCTTTTATGAGCTAGTCACAGAACTCAGTCAACATTTATTAAATTATTAGTAAGGAGAAATATGTCTGAGTTCTGAGTGACTTATTTGCAAACAAACATTAGGAACATAGTCACTTTTAAACTGAGAATTGCCTTATTGCACCCATTCCATGCTATCCAGCTTTTTCTTCTGTACTGGGCTTCTCCAAGGACAGAAAAATGCATTTCTTAGATTAATCATCTAGTTGTAAAACCATTGAAAGAAATACATTTTCTTCACTTTATAAAATCTCTTAAAAACCTATCAATCAGTTAGCATGAGTTTGGAAGTGTTTCAATGTTTTGTTTGATTTTCAGAAACCAAGCCATCTCCTGCTGTGTAGTTTTGTGACTATTGGCATTTTAATGGCATTTTTTCTGCTGATTCAAGCCTGTCCCTGGACTTATTATGTGTATTGCTTGTTGCCAGTGCCTATATGGTATGCAGTTCTAAGAGAGTAAGTAACATATCTTGCTGTCTTGTTTTTCACTTCACTGTCAGATAAATCTGTATTTAAAATGCATTAGATTTCTGTAGCATAGTCATCAACCATATTTATAATACTCTCAAATCTCCAAACCCTCTCACTTCATTTATGACAGCATAAATGTTCCATATAAGTATTCTTTTTGTATTACCTTTTTAAAAAATTAATTTTAGAGAGGAAGGGAGGAGAGAGAAATATTGTGGTGTTGTTCCACTTATTTATAATTCATTGGTTGATTCTTTTATGTGCTCTGATCAGGGATCGAACCTACAACCTTGGCGTGTTGGGACAATGTTCCAACCAACTTAGCTACCTGGCTAGGGCGGGCTGCCTTTCTTTCTTTCTTTCTTTCTTTCTTTCTTTCTTTCTTTCTTTCTTTCTTTCTTTCTTTCTTTCTTTCTTTTTCTTCTTCATCTTTATTGCCTTAGGGAAGCATTGTCCTTGTTGCCTTCTTTGTGTATCTTTTATGAAAAAAATATGGAGTAAAAATAAAATGACTGTACTATGTTGACTATGCTATGCCTGGAGTAACCCATACTTTGAACTTGTCTTGTATATCTCAATTTCTAGTGTCTCTTCATGTTTCATAAAAAAAATTTGCACTTTTTTTCCTATGCATTTTGCCTCTCCTTTCTTAGCTATCAAGTAAAGCTGGATCAATGAAACTTTGTAATTAAATAAAATCTATTAAAGTGTGCATACAAGATTAGTGGATATTATTCGCATATGCTGTGGTTCTAAAATGCCTCCTCACAAGTTATACTTAAATGGGTTCTTATATTGTAGAAAACATCAGAGCTCGGGCAAGTTTCAAGTCCTTTAAAATAAAACCACTAATACGTTAGTCTGGTTTATGTTCACAGGCCTCAGAGTTTGTTGACATCTATATATGCACAATAACCTAGAATTTAAACTTAGTATCAGGCATCTAAGCATCCTCAGAGCAAACCAGACCCCACAAGCTGAGCAGGGAATGAGAGCCCAGAATAAGAGTATTTTCAGGGTTAGCCAGCATGTCTGTCCTGACACAATGTGTATTCTTGTTCTAATTTTTGTTAACTCCCGCTTTGACCACCTCTTCCATCCTTTAAAAACATTTAGTATTAAAAATATTAAAATGTTGAAAATATAAAAATTAGCCCTGGCCAGTGTGGCTCAGTTGGTTGGAGTTCGTCCTGTGCACTGAAGGGTCTCGGGTTTGTTTCCCATATGGGCACATACCCAGGTTGAGCATTTTATCCCCAGTCGGAGGCATGTACAGAGGGCAACCGATGAATGTTTCTCTCTCCCTCTCCCTTTCTCTCTATCTTAAGTCAATAGTCAATAAAAATTAAGTTTAAAATGTCAACATTTTAAAATATAAGGCAAAATGACACTGACAAAAGAATATACTGTTACTACTTCATTTGAAAGAAATGGGGTTGCTGGATATACATATGTAACTCAGATTTTTTTTCTAGTGTCATTTACTCTTTTAAAATTTTTAGAATGAACGGTTTTAACCTTGCAGAAAATTCTGTTTTACTCCCAAACCCCAAGGGGTTTTGCAAGGGTAAAACCTTTTGTTCTAAAAATTTTTAAAGAGTAAATGACACTAGAAAAAAATCTTCCAGATGATTTTATAAAATCATCTCTTGTCTCTCTGTGCTTATTCACTGTTATGAACAAAAGAAACATTCTTCTTTTGCCTGGTGTTAGCCTTTTTTTTCCTACTTGGCATCTTAATAGTTTTGATAACATTATGTAGCCCTTGTTTTAAATCAGCAAAAAGGTCATAAATCAAGTGATACTGACATTTTGTAATTACTTAATAATGCACTACAAATGCTAAAAAAAATTTCCAGTAATTAAATATCAAAAAGTACTCAAGTATATAATACATTTTAAATGGCTATGAATTAATATTTAATTATAATTACTATATAATTAGTGACATCTTAAAATGGGTTTGGAAAAGGTTATTTATCTCAGTAAAAAGTACAATTAAGATTTACTCTAACTAGATAAGAAAAACCTACCTTTATTTCATTAAGACAGTTGAGATTTCAAAATAAGATTAACCTTAGTGAATTAAAAATTATTTTCCAGTTTTTATTCACTTGGGTTCACTGTATTTTATTTCTGATATTATATCTGTAATTATATAAACACTAGAGGCCCAGTGCACGAAATCCATGCACTTGAGGGGGTGGGGGTCCCCTCAGCCTGGCCTGCGCCCTCTCTCAGTCCAGGACCCCTCAGGGGATGTCCACCTGATGGCTTAGGCCCAATCCTGCCGGGGCCTAAGCTGGCAGGCGGACATCCCTCTTGCAATCTGGGATCCCTCGCTCTTTACTACCCACCTGCTCGCAGCTCCTTAGTGCTGCCACAGAGGCGGGAGAGGCTCCCGTCACCACCACTGCACTCGCCAGCCGTGAACCCAGCTTCTAGCTGAGAGGCACTCCCCCTGTGGGAGCACACTGACCACCAGGGGGCAGCTCCTGCATTGAGCGTCTGCCTCCTGGTGGTCAGTGCGCATCACAGCAACCGGTCATTCTGGTCGTTCCACCATAATGGTTGCTTAGGCTTTTATTATATAGTCTAGAGCCATGGTCGGCAAACCGCGGCTCGTGAGCCACATGTGGCTCTTTGGCCCCTTGAGTGTGGCTCTTCCACAAGATACCAACTTCTGCGCATGGGCCACGAAGTTTCAATCGCACTGTATGTGTGCGCCCACACGTGGTATTTTGTGGAAGAGCCACACGCAAGGGGCCAAAGAGCCGCATGTGGCTCACGAGCCGTGGTTTGCCGAGCCGCAGTTTGCCGACCACTGGTCTAGAGGCCCGATGCATGAAATTCGTGCCAGGGGCTCGGCCCTCGCAGCTGCAGCGGCTTGCCTTGGCCCTTGCAGCCCTGGCTTTGTCTGGAAGGTCATCTGGAAGGACATTCAGAAGGTCGTTCGGCTGTCCAGTCTAATTAGCATTTTATGCTTTTATTATTATAGATGGGTATGGTTAAACTATGATCAAATAAGACTCATTTATTGTCACAATATTTTTTAAAACAAGCAATTTTTTGTGATCATTATCAAATTAACCCAGAAATTACAATTTTTACTGAAATACTTCTAGGTTTCAAAAAAAGATTTAGGTCAGTAAAGCCATTGAAACAAATCTATTAGAGATTCTCTTCATTTTAAAATAATTTGTGAATTACATATTTCCTGATTTATAGCTTTGTACAAAGTTTTTATTTTTTACTAAATATGGCCTAATTTTCAATTCAATATAGATAATCTTTTTATAAAAAATCTTGCTAAACAGATACCAAGTTATTCAAGACCTTGTCACGTCACTGTTGACCTTCCCCTCGCGTCATTTTGTTGGATACCTGTTAGCACTTGCCTTGGGAATTGAAGTATTAGTAAGTAATTTACCACATTACAGCATAGTCATCTCTTTCACATTTATGTAACTGCTTTAAAATGACCTCACTTTTTATTTCTTTTTTGGAACGTGTTACTAGGTTCTCAGTTTTTTCTACCGCTATATGCTTACTGCTGGACTTATTGTATTTGCGGGTTGGCCATTTACCACTCAGCTGTGGACACGAGCAAAGGTATACGTACTCTTTTTGACACTGGACAGTTAGTAGTTACTGGGTTTGACATGTGTTTAACTTGGGGAACTGTTCATTTTTAAAGAAAAGGGTGGAACATGTTTCTACATGAAAAGTCTGGTCCTTTTGACTGGAGGATGGAGGTTGCTTTAAGGTTTCAGTGATTGCATAGATTTTCATATCAAAATGAGCCTGTCATATGACGACTGAAATACTCAAGGAGCAGAGGAGCTGTGTCCTTCTTTGAAGTGCTTGCTAGATTGCTTTAGCCCCAAGTATCTGAATGATGGAGTAGCCGAGGAACTTCCCAGAGGAACGGCTAGACGATTGCTCTCTGAACTCAGATCACAGCTGTCACCTCCCTCCCAGCCCTGTGCCACCTCCATTCTTTTCTGGAGAAGCATATGTTCATGATGGATTATTTTAAAATATAATTATTCCTAAGTTTCTTCCTTCAACTAGATAGAGAATAGAGAATTATAATGTGCTTCTACAAGAAATACGCTCATTTCTATTTTGATACCTTTTTTTTTGTAATCCTCACCCGAGGGTATTTTTCCATTGATTTTTTTTTTTTTTTTTTTTTTTTTTTTTTTTTTTAGAGAGAGAGAGAGAGGAAAAGGCATAAATATCAACCTGAGAGAAACACAGGGCCTGGGCCAGGGAGGAGCCTGCAACCGAGGTACATGCTCTTGACCAGGTTGGAACCCAGGACCTTTTGGTCCATAGGCTGACGCTCTATCCACTGAGCCAAACCAAATGGCTAAAATGATACTTTTATATATACTGTATATATTTTTATTGATTTCAGAGAGGAAGGGAGAGGGAGAGAGAGATAGATACATCAATGATGAGAGAGAATCATTGATTGGCTGTCTCCTGCACGCCCCCTACTGGGGATCAAGCCCACAACTCAGGCACGTGCCCTTGACCGGAATGGAATCCGGGACCCTTCAGCCTGCTCTATCCACTGAGCCAAACCAGCGAGGGCCATTTTTGCTACTTTTTTATGGAGATAGTAAGAAGATAGAAATATCTTCTTTCCAGCCTCTAAGAACTAGTAAAATTCCTCAATGGGATTCTTGATCATTTTTGTCATAATCTAATTACAAAGGTGTTTTTGCTCATTTCCCTCCTGGGCTCAATCATTTGATTATGATTGCTGGCCAAATGGCTTACAGATATAATCAATATACAGTATAATGTAAATTGAAGGAAGCACTTGCCTTGAAATTTCAGGCCCAGGTTAAAGTCCTGTCTGTTTCATTTACTAATCATAGGTTGATACTACTTATACTTTAACATTTCTGAGGTCAGTTTCCTATCTGAAACTCTGTGAATAATATAACCTATCTCCCAGCTTATTGTGAGAATTATGAGATAACTAGAGGCCCGTTGCAGGAGGATTCCTGCAAGAATAGGGCTTCGCTCCCGTCTCTGCGGCTCCTACCCCGCTCTTCTCTGCGGCTCCTACCCCACCCGTCTCTGCAGTTCCTACCCTGCCCGTCTCTGCCGCTTCTCTCCCGCCCATCTCCGCTACCTCATCTCCGTTGCTTGGCTTCCTTCTACAGTGTCTTCAGTCTTCGCTCCCAGCCAGTATATGCAAATTAGCCACCATCTTTGTTGGCAGTTAATTTGCATATCATGCTGATTAGCCAATAGGAGGCGTAGCGAAGGTACGGTCAATTACCATATTTGTCTATTATTAGATAGGATACTCATATTATACCTATATACTACCTATTACATAACTGAAACTTTACAGACAGTAACTCCATTACTTTGTAAACAGATATAAGGCTTTGAATTTTCTCTTTGATTCACAGCCATATAGTCTGTGAAATATTGAAGACTGTTTTTTCTACCATATTTGCCTAAAAATAACTTTTTTTAATTGTTTTAGAGCATCTCACTGAGTTGGATTTTCTTCTGTTTGCTCTGGCGGTGTTCCCACTGATGCCTGTTGTAGGACGAAAGCCAGATATCTTTCTAGTGTATGAACAATATTTTTTAACTTACTTTCTTTCCAATACAATTATTTTTCTTAACACTATGAAATATGAACCTAATCTTGATCATAAGTTTAAAATTACACAAACAAACTAGATGTTAAAATATTAATGACTCTAGGAGTCATTGAAGCTCCCTGGGCTGCCTTTGGGCCTTCACAAGAATGACATTGTACCAAACACTGATAACTTAAAATACCACTCATAACTTAAAATACCACTCCCCCCATTTCCATCCCATCCCCCAAAAAGTTCAGAAGCTTTCTGTATCTTTGTATCAATGAAAAAGTCTTCTCTTGCCAAAACAAAAAGGTTTAAAAGCCATTGATGTCATCTCTGTCTTTGCTTATGAGCATGTCCACACTTTAAGTCTTAAAAAAATTAAATTCCTATTCTAATCTGAATGTACAGATCTCCATGGAAAGAAGCTATACTTTGACAACTTTCTCATTTTAATCTCTTTGACTGTTAGAAAATTCTATATACCTTTCTTGAATTCTCCATGCTACTACTATATTTATTTATTTTCTATATGTCCTAAATAAATCCATGAAATAATTGGTTACCTTTGCTTTTAACTTTACTTTTAAATTAGTATCAAGTAATCTATTGGCTGTGTGTGTGTGTGTATTTATGCATGTGCTTGACAAGCTAAATAATCATTATTTTATGTAACATTTCCTCTCTTTTCTAATTATATAATCATCTTTGTTACTTTCTTTAGAACTCTGTATAAATAATATTTTTAGCATTTTAACCTAATCTTTAATAGATGAGAGTATGTCTTTTTTAATTGAGGGAAAGTTAACTAAACAATATTTTTAAGTATGTGTTAATTTTAAAGTATGTGTATCTATTTTGCTACTTCATCTTGATTAAACCAAATGACTCAGATGTTCTCCATACAGTGTTTCTCAACCTGTGGGTCAAGAAAAATGAAAATACATCCTGCCTATCAGATATTTACATTGCAATTCATAACAGTAGCAAAATTACAAATAAGCAACGAAAATAATTTTATGATTGGGGGTCACCACAACATGAGGAACTGTATTAAAGGGTCACACTAGAATGTCTAATATTTTCATATGCTCTGTGTTCAGTCAGCATCTTAAGAAAATTTGAAATTGTGAATTGTGTTTTCAAACAGAATGGGTGCAGGCCTGCTGGTCCTTCTGCTGTCCCTGTTTGTTGTAACATCTCTCATAAAAACAAAAGATAGTTTTGTAAATGACAAGCTATTGTTACATCTATTACAGGTTAGTTACAGATTGTCACACTGTCTTATTACTAATGATATACCAAAAAGTATCTTACAGTTGTGTTTAATTACGTTGCTCTTAAGATGTCATCATGGTTAAGTTATCCAATACCTACCAGCTAAGAAGAGAGTTTTCTGTTTAAGTAATCACATGGAAATACATTTTCTAAAAGGTGTGAAATAACAAAGAGGTCAACAGAAGTCAGCTCAGAGATGCCCGAGAGCAGGTTAAGGAGACATAAGAAGCATCTGTACTGACCAAAAAGTTGACCTGAAAAGGCCTCCTCTAGACTGAGATTCTTGTCCTCATTTGAAGTGAAGGCAGCCTCTGAGTATGCTTATATGAAGAACTAGAGGCCCGGTGCATGAAATTCATGCACGGGGGTGGTGTGTGTCCCTCAGCCCAGCCTGCACCCTCTCCAATCTGGGATCCCTCTCACAATCCAGGACTGCTGGTTCCCAACTGCTCGCCTGCCTGATTGCCCCTAACCGCTTCTGCCTGCCAGCCTGATCACCCCCTAACCACTGTCCTGCCAGCCTGATCACCCCCTAACCACTGTCCTGCCAGCCTGATCGATGCCTAATTGCTCCCCTGCAGGCCTGGTCGCCCCCAACTGCCCTCCCCTGCTGGCCCAGTCACCCCTAACTTCCCTCCCCTGCCAGCCCGATTGCCCCTAACTGCCCTTCCCTGCCGGCCTGGTCCCCTCCAACTCCCCTCCCTTTCAGGCCTGGTCGCTCCCAACTGCCCTTCCAAGCTGGCCATCTTGTGCCGGCCATCTTGTGTCCACTTGGGGATGGCCATCCTGTGTGTTGGAGTGATGGTCAATTTGCTTATTACTCTTTTATTAGATAGGATTATTATATAGGATAGACAATTTAAGGCTTCAGTGGACACCCTAGGAGAAAATAAACTTCACCTTGGTTGGTGGCATTGGTGTGGTATAAAGAACTATGAACTTGATGTTTCAAAATTGAGTTAATTTTCAGTTACGTTGCTTTCTGCATGTGTGATTTTCAGTAATAGAACTTTAGTCTGTTTTTAATCTGTAGAGATAATATCTAATAGTGTTGTGAAAATTAGAGATTATAATATCATTCTGTAAAATGAAGCATTTTTGTAGATAGTGAAAACCACATTTTTTTCCTTTTAAACAATAAAAAAATTAAAATATACATCTAGAACACTGACCAAAAAAAACATATAAGTCTGCTCAAAAAATGTACTCAGAACAAAGCTGGGATGATGGAAAGTATTTCCAAGAACACTCTGAAATAAAAATATATGCAACCCTTCAAAGATGTCATTCTTGAACAACAACAGAGAACACATAAGAGAAGAAACATTTTGTCAAGGCTCCTATCAACCATTGGAGTGTATCTTTCATTTTAAATAGTACACTGACTGGCTTTTCTCTAAAGCCCGTAGCAGATTTGACGGAATTCACCAGTAATACTGAGTACTTTGGCAGAAGTGAATGTTTCTGAATCTTACTCTAGAGGAGCAAAGACTATCACGTGGAAATTGTAACAGACTTTGTTAGAAATTCTTTCTCATCAAAATTTCTCCCTAGATTTAGCATCCATTCATAAGTCTTTCCTAAGAATAAGGTAAATGTTACAAAATTCCTCTTTACATTAACTTTACTAATTTGCATCAATTCCTGAACTGTTTGCCATATTTTTCATTGATTCCAAGCTACGTATCTGAAATGAAAAAAATGTCTTAGAATTGAAAGGATCCTAGGATTGTGTCATAGCTTCATTGATAACACTTTTGTTGTTCTTCCTTCACTAAAAATATAAGTAACTTAAATATAGATCTAGGATTTGGTGGTGAGGATGCTAATCTGATCTCTAAGAGCATTTACTTTGTCCACAGCCATAAATTAGCTGATAACTTCTTATAGTAGCAATTGGTCCACTAGTTCAGGTGTCAGAAAACATTTCTCTAAAGAGCCAGATTGTGAAGATTTTAGGCTTTAGGGCCATGGAGAGTCTGTTGTAAATTTTCATCTCTACCTCTACAGTGCAAAGGGAGCTATAGGAAACACGTAAATGAATGGGAATGACTGTGATCCAATAATATAGTATTTCTAAACACAGGCCTCAGGCCTCTAAGCTGTAGTTTACCAACTAGTTTATGTTTATTCCCTGAATAATATTGTCCTCCTTATAGTCCCAGTAACAAGTGAATACTCAGGCCACAAGTACGTGTTGAATGAATAAGTGGATAGGACTATGGGTAAGAGCCAGAGGTGGGAGACACAACCACCTACACTAAACTCTATGCACTTCACCCTCTGCATTTCCATGATTTAGGTGAACTTCAAGGTTAATAATGAATACTTCTAGGTAGAAAGAGTGTGATAATGTATGCCAAAATACTCTTGCAGGTGTAAAATGCCTCATCGCATGCTTGTCAAGGATGACCTTTGCTTAGTGCAAGAGTTCTAACTCAGGCCTGGCCACAAGAAGGTGACCTGGTCCAATTTCCGTAGCAGTTTGGCCAGATTCCACTTATTCAAGCACTTTGTGAAGTGTTCTTATATAAATTAGTCTCTCACCACCTTCTCTTTATTTCCATGTGTTTTATTTGTTTTCAGATGCTGAGCACAGTGCTTTCCATGTGGGCTGTGTATAGCACCCATAATAGCCTTCTTAAGAAACAAGGACTTCCTCTTATTAATCAGGTGGTTAGCTGGATAATATTAGGTAAGAGGTCAATCAAACTACATGAGGTAATTTTACATCATCATAGTTTAAAATGGTCAATTTGCATCTATATTATTACTAAAAAACATAATTTTGTTGCAGGACAATAATAATAACCAGCTATTATTTTTATTGCTTATTGGCATTTGACAAAGAAAATTAGAACTTTTATGAACATTCATGTATTAACAACAATTACTTGCCCTAACCGGTTTGGCTCAGTGGATAGAGCGTTGGCCTGCGGACTCAAGGGTCCCAGGTTCGATTCCGGTCAAGGGCATGTACCTGGGTTGCGGGCACATCCCCAGTAGGGGGTGTGCAGGAGGCAGTTGATCGATGTTTCTCTCTCATCGATGTTTCTAACTCTCTATCCCTCTCCCTTCCTCTCTGTAAAAAATCAATAAAATATATATATATATATATATAAGAATTACTTGATAGACTATTTATGACATGATAATAAGGCTGTATATTTATTCATATCTGATAAAAACCTAAGTGCAGCCAGAAGAAAAAAACAGTATCTTTTATGGTTTCCCCCTCCCTTATGAATAATAAGGCATCTGTGACACTCTGAGACCATCAAATATCCTTGTCATCAAAATTTCTCCCTAGATTTAGCATGCAATTCATAAGTTTTTCCTCATATAGTCTTTGTCATGATGGCTTCAAAATGATTTTCTAGCTTTAACCCTCCTACTGCATTTACCAAAAGGCTCTCAGCACTCTTAAGAATCCTCCCTTCTTAAAATATGTATCAGGTAATGATAACCTTATTAGAACCACATATCTAAAAAAAATTAGAAGCTATTTATCCAAAAGTATTATAAATATAACTTGCATGGTCTTAAATTTTGCAGTGACTTGGCTTTGAACTCAGTACATATTGACTAGTGATAACAATAGCAGCTAACAGTTATTAAGCACCTACTGTATCCAAGACACTATGCTCAGGGAGTGTTTTACAGGTGAATTGTATTCAAACCTCACAACTTTTTATTTTATCTCTACTTGACAGATGGAAATTCTGCTCACATGTCCCATGGTTAACACTTAATAAGTGTTTCTGCCAGGGTTCTATCGCAGGTCATCTCTCTCCATACTCTGGAGTATTGAACTCCAGGCATATCGCCATCCTAACTAGAGGGATTACAAAGTTATGTACATTTCCATTCCCCTTCTCTTTTTATCTGTCCTCCCATTGAAGTAATTGCTTTCTTATGCTATGGGGAAAGATTACTCTCTCATATACAGTGAAGTCCTTTCTCCTCTCTATAATTTCTGAAGGAGCACACTACAACTCTCAATGAATATTTTGCAGTGGGAAAACTTGAAGGAGGAGGGGGAGTAAGTGGTCTTTTGCACTAAATGCCTAATTAGGAGAAGAGTTGCTGAATCTTGAATAATATATTTTATTATTTATAGAACATAAGTTATTCATTCAAGGGTTAATATTACAGTGAGTGAAGCTGACTATAAATTGAGAAAATCTGAGCCAAAAGTTGGTTAAAACAATAAGATATAATTTAATTAGAAATATGAAGTTTCAAACTTCTCACTGAAATGATTAGGGCAAATATAGCCTCATTGTAAAGGTCACACAAACAATAAGGTCATATGTGTTTATAGATTATTTCGTGCTTCTAAACTCACATGTCATGTGCCTCTTGCTGACACGCCCGTGTTTCATTGCAGCCTCCTCCTTCGTGGTGCCCCTGCTGAGTCCCAGGAACCTCTTGGAGCGGTTGTTTAGTATACTCGTCTCATCGATGTCAGCCTATCTCCTTCTAAGCAGAGGGTACAAACTTTTTTACATTTTCATTTAGAGTAGCAAGTTTTAAATGTTGGCATTTCTCTATGAGCATTTAACCTCTAGAAATGAACAATGTTATAAAAATCTTGAGGAATAAGTTGTAAGTATTTTCTGTAATAAGAACTGTATATGACTTGAACCATAACCTTTAATTTTCTTTTTCTTATTGTTTTCATAGTATTACCTATTGTCTTTCTGTTTATTTCCTGAAGTGGCTAAAATGTTTTATTTTAGTATTAGAAAATTCCGATTGATTATGGAGGTGTTTTAAGTCTCAAACAATGACTGAGAAGAATTTTAGTTTTGGTTGCATTTCTTTCATGTACTTTAACTTAGGCTTTGATTTATTCATTCTTCTTTGAATTTAATATTTTATTTTTACTGTTACATACATCACAGTACAAATAGTCCTTTTGATTCAGAAGACTTTTAGAATATTTTCCCAAAAGTTAAAGAATGCATTTTTATTTAAGATTGAAATTTTTTTACAGAAGAAAGAAATACTAGCAGTCTAATTTGTGGTAGGTCCTGAAGCGTTCTCTTGAACTCAGTGAAAACAGTGACATGTATCTTCCCATCTACTTAGAAGAAGAAAAATCTCCACTTGCTTTTGAATTTTATTTCATCCGTACTTAAATCCTTATGAGGATGAGAAATGTGCACATTATAACACACGTCAAATATAGGCAAATCGAATAACCACCACTCATAGTTTGGCCCAAATATAGGATCTGGTTTCAATTAGACTAAACCTAGGGATTTACCATTGTGATGTCAATGGATTCTTTCCACATTAGATGATTTTTGTAAAGGCATTTTGGGTCCAAGACTTGGGTTCATTTTGGGGGAAATTTAGGTGTCCTAGTTCAGAATTAGAGAAATGTTCTCATAGTAGACCCTAACATCCTAAATGACCTAGATCCCAGGAGTTCTTCTATTCCCCATATAGCAGATGATCCACTGGGTGCTAGACTTCCTCTGACCAAGGCCCCCACACCTCCTATCTTTTCATTTCTCTTTGGACAAACAGGTCTGGGCACAGCAATGAAGATGTAATACGTATAATCAATGTAGACATTTCTACCAGTTACCTAATAAGATCTTCAGATGGGCTTGCTTTCAGACTTAGAACTTTGAACTCTGAAATAAAGCTTGAAGTCTATCAGCATATTCTTACTCAAGAGTGATAAATATAATGAAACCTTAAAACTCTTCATCTTTTTTCCCTTTATTGGTGAAATTATCTTCTATATATAAAAGCCTAATGTGCTAAGTGTCCAACCATTTATTCGACCAGTCGCTATGATGCACACTGACACCAGGGGGCAGACGCTCCGACCGGTAGGTTAGCTTGCTGCTGGGGTCTGGCCCATCAGGACTGGGCGAGATGGGTTGGAGATGCCTTGGAGCCCTCCCGCAGTCCCTCCCCGGCCTCTAAAGTATTTCTTCTAATTAATTTCCTTTCAATGTGCATGAATCTGTGCACCGAGCTTCCAGTAAAATAAATAATTTAGTTATAATCAGAATCTATCATTGTATAAATGTATATGTGAATTGGAATATACAGTCTTTTGTCTAGATAAAAATCAGAATATAAAATAATTTCTGTTCTAACCCACCATTTTGGGGTGACACAACTTTCATTAAGAGATTACACCCAGAGGTTGCCTTAGGGAGTAATGTTTGTCAGGATCCAGAAACTTGTGTATATTCTACACAGTCACTTCATAATCAATAAGCCCTTTTCTTTTTAGGATCTCCAAGTTCTAAAGCACTAGACAGATTTAAAGGAATGTGTAGTAGATTAAAAACTGCAAATAAATCTAAACATAGATCTGGTTTGCTGGATTAGAGCTTAAGAAAGTATAATTAAAGTTGAATTTTGAGTGAAAACGTACTTCATAATGTAGAGTGAGTTAGCCATGTAGCTAACATTAGGGATAAGCATTATAGTGTTTTAAATCATCAATTTAATACTCACGAAAGACACCAAAACAGATTATCCTAAGTACATTTAATTTATTTTAAGAAAATCTAAAATAAAAATTTACACCTAGTGAGAGTGGCCTTACTAATGAATGTATTAAGAAATATATTTTTTAACATCAGAAAGTACATTTACCTTTGCAAAAACATTCCACAGATATAACCTGAAGCAGCACAGTCTAATAATTTCACTTAGAACATTTTCAGTGTCAAATCAGTTTTGCAAAACAGTCCATGTTGTCATCTTTTTAAGGCAACCTGGAGGGTTCTCTATGGATATTAGTGAATAGTCAGAATTATAGGATATTTTAAAAAATTCAGTTTATTACTTTAAAGAAAGATAGTAATCTTAAATTCTAACTTATAATGCATCCTTGATTTTATGAATAAAGAAGATTTATTTTGTAATCAACACAATTATTTTTATGCAAATAGAAGCTATTATAGTATTTGAAAATAATTTCCTTAGTTGGTTAAAATTTCCCTCTGAAATTTGTTTATATGATCCCTTAGCACACTATAAAAGAAAGCTAAATGCCTTATGGCCCTGTTCGATTTGCAGAGACCAAACTAGCAGATCCAGATTTAGTATGGTTTTATTATGTACACTATGATGACATTTTACTGGTGTTTCAGTATATTAATTCAGATATGCAGATTTCATACAAGATATTGATTATCTAAAGAAATGAAGCCCTAGCCAGTTTGGCTCAGTGGATAGAGCATCGGCCCACGGACTGAAGGGTCCTGGGTTCAATTTTGATCAAGAGCATGTACCGCAGTTGCAGGCTCAATCCCTGGCCAGGGGCACATGTGGGAGGCAACCAATTGATGTGTCTCTCTCACATCAGTGTTTCTCTCTCTATGTCTCTCCCCAACCCTTGCACTCTCTCTAAAAACAAAATTTTTTTTTCAATGGAAAAGTATCCTCAGTTAAGGATTAACAAAAAAAAGAAAGAAAGAAAGAGCAAGAGAGAGAGAAAGAAAGTCCCATAGGAATATTTATTCATCTACATTTTACAAAAGAAACTAATCATAGTTTATAGTTTTTGTAAGGAAATAAATCGGTAGCATAGGTGGGCCAGAGAGTATGAACTGTTGTTTGTTTGCTTTTTACTTAAGAACAATGCCAATTTATAATAGCACCAACAGCCTTTGAGGGGTCCTATTTCATCATTTTCTTCCCAAGATTTGGTATTTTTATTTTAAAATAAGAATATCAAATGCTATTTTAACAGGTCAGAAATGGTGTAGCTTTTTATAACTTTCTGTGCTTGTTAAACTAGTGATATTTTCTTATGTGTATGTTATCTCTTCATCCTCCGGCAGTCTTCTATACCAAGCGATCGTGTATGCTTCCTCAAACCCAAGTGTTCCTTCTGCCCCCTCTTCAGTGCTTTAGTTTTATGATCTGTGGTAAAATTTAAAGCATAGGATTGGAAAAGGCTTCTATTACTGGGTTATCTCATGAACATTTCTCCTTTATCCACCTCGTGTTCCAGCCTAGAGATGTACCATGCTCACCTGTGGAGAGTAGGTTGTTTTCTGTTTTTCCCTTCAGTAAACAGTATCACAACAAACATCTTTATATGTGTATTGTAGTGCATGTGTCTGATTATGTTTTCAGGGAATTTCTTGAAGTGATGGATGGTATTTATAGCAGAGAATCTAAGGAAAAAGAGGCCAGTGCCTCTGACTAAATAGTTTGGGATTGCATGTTTTAAAAATTCTTGTATAACACCAGTGTGCTGCGACACACCGGATGAAAATACTGGGTTAGAACATATGAATATTTTTGAGACTCTTGATACACAGTGTTAGATTACCTTCCAAAAAGTGTTTTATTCCTATACAGAGAGGATGCTATTTCTTTTTTCATTACACTCTTGTCAACATTACTTTTTTAAATTTTGGGTAAATATGCTAAGTGAATATGGTATCTCCCTATTATTTTGATTTCCACAACAGTTATCAATAAGATCAAACATACTTTTGTGTACTTATTGGCTCTTTTTTGTTGTTTTTGAGAGTTTTATGTTCCTATATTGCAGCCTTTTTTTTTTTAATTTGGAACATTTGTCTTGCTCTTTTTCTCTGTATACCAGGTATTAATAATTTCAACTTGGAAATTGTCTTTTTACCTTTGTATATTTTCTTTTTGTGTGTGTGTATATCTGTCATTTACTTTATAATTTATTTTTAAATATCTCTACTATTTTAAACATATCATGATCTCAAGATGTAATATATTTCAAAAACAGATGTTGTTGGAGTTGATATTTAAATGTTACTTTTCTTTTCTACTTCTTCTGAAAAATTAAAATTTTTGTGATATTGTACCTTAGAAATATTAAGATTATTTTAATTTTGAAAAAGACTTCTCAATATAAATTTGCATTTTAATTTGTTTAATGTTTTTGTCTTTTCATTTCTACCCTCCCACTTTCACCCCACCCCTACCCACCTCTTAGGTATGAGGCTCTCTTCCCATTAGTGTTGTCATGTTTGATGTTTGTCTGGATACATATGGAACAAGAAACCCTACAACAATCTGATGTTTCCTGCAAACAGAAGGTAGATTGTCAAAATCATTGTTGCATTTATCTGAGAATATTAAAATACTCTATTCTATAAGGAAGTTACAATGTTATTTCATTAAACCTTTCTACTTAAAATTTTATGCTATTTAAATCATTAGTAATTAAGTTAAAATTAAGTTAAACAGCTTGTAAGAAAATTTTTTACTTATAACAGAAAAACATATTATTGTTTTATAGACATTATAGAGGATGGACTTTTTAAAGAGATTATTTGAGAATCACTGATGTGAAAAACATAATATAGGTGAAAGAATGGAGGAGGAGGGATGTTATCCCATTTTCCTCTATCTTTACATCTAATTTTTCTTCTTTCAATTTATTTTATCTGGAAGAATATTTATGTTGTCACAAATCAGTTAATGAATTTGATCGGAAAGGTCATTTATGTTCCCTGCCTTGTTTTTCTCCTTCTAGTAATCCTAATCCAAAATGCTTATTCTGTCACCTTAGTGATTGTGGTCTCAGACCAAATCTTGGACTATTTGTTCCTCACAGTATACAATGAATTTCCTAAAAGCCAATCAGATTTTAAGGACACCTTTATTATCCTGAGGTATAGCGTTAAATTGATGTCTCTTGCCTTCATTTTAGAACTGAGGTAATTATGAGAAATTAGTGATAGAATATTTATAGTTTTACTGAGGTCAGGTAAAATGAATATTGCAGAAGAACTCTTTCATAGTTGATCTATTCTTAACTGGTTCCACTTGAGTTTATAGAGAGGAATTGGTAATTTAGAATAATTAATTTCAATAAAGAAGAAACTTTATTGAAGTATATTAAATAATTACTGTTTAACTTTCAGTCCTGGAATATTAAAATAATACATTTTGATCAAATTTAAGTAAATGGTCAGGCTGTCCATTTAAAATGAGGTTTATTGTGTCATTTTTTATGTTCTATTTTTTACCTGAAAGCAGATGTTCCTTTTTCTAGGAAAGAGTATTAAAGCATCCTAAGAACTTATTGGCAATTATATGGAGAGTGAGGGATAGGGAAAGTCTCCCTTTAAACTTACTCATGATTTTTTGGGGAGTGTGAGGGATTAAGGAAAAAAAAAAAGAAAGAATGCACCTATCTTCTTGGAATTGAGTGACTTTCTATTTTACCAAAGATAGAAAATATTTTATTTTTCTTATAAAGAGAAATGATATCTCTACAAATAGAATTAAGAGAAGAACAAAGAAACATATTTAATTTTATCATGCTTTTTAATATCATACCATACCTGGGTTTGAGAAGATCAGGACACTGAGAAATCAGGTCTTAGAAAAATAAAGAATTATATAGGGATTTAAAAGTGAAGCATATATATAGGATAAGAAAAAGCTCAATTGTCACTTCTATTACACATATAGCAATACTACAATTCTGTTCAATACATTATTAGCAACATATTTTATTTTTCTGGCAGACTTTATTAAGATGTAATTAAGCTATAGGAAAAGATTTATTGTTGATTTTTGTTGTTGTTAGTACAAGGTATCTTTCTAGCCGTTGTAACTTAGACTGTCAGTTTGCCTATGGGGGTAGAAGTAAGGGAACTGTTACTGTGCATTCATGTGTTTCTTATTTCTCCCAGGTCACCAGTATCCATTTCTCCTACAATACTGATATAACCCAGTTTCGACAGCTCTGTCTGGATGACATCCGTAGGGCCTTTTTCCTTGTATCCTTCATTTGGGCTTTTGGTTTCAGTTGCTGCAACCCCCCATTTAATGGAGTAAGAATGTGGAAGGTGTCCCTGCCTGTCACCATTAATGGTATTACCTTGGAGAGCATTTAACTCTCCTCTCAACCATAATTTTCTCATAGTTCACGTCGTTAAGAAATTTTCGAAACTATAAAAAAGCATAAAGGCTGGCATAAATAAATATGTGTGTATATCTACCATCCACATATCAACAGTTAATATTTTGTCACATATGTCACATTTTTAAAAAAATTAAAACTTTACAGCTAAAGTTAGTCTCAACTCCCAACTCCAATCTAATTTTCTCACCTAGAAGAAACTGCATTATGAGTTTAGTTTGCAGCTTTTATGTATATCCTATACTATACTCATGTAAAATCTGCCTCACAAGGTTTTTGGATCACATCAGAGGAAATGTTGTGTGAAAGTTACTAGAATTCAAAGTTTGAAAGACAGTATGGCAGAATAAAGTCTCAATTTGAGAAGGCTGGCTGACCAGCTTCAAGAAATTCATAGGGAGGTGTTTCCTTTGAACTTACCGTGGCGCAGGGCTGGACCTTATAGGTCCAGAAAACAAATGTGCCATGCTCTCCTCTACCTCTTGCTTTCACACTCAATCTTGCCTTCTCTTTTTTTGCAGGTTCCTTCCACTCAGCACAGACAAGTAAAATACTTCTTTCCTTGAATCCTGCATCCCCCTAAATTATAACTTCATTTTTTGTGTGTGTTTATTTTTAAATATATTTTTATTCATTCAGAGAGAAAGAGAGAGGGAGAGATAGAAACATCAATGATGAGAGAGAATCATTGATTGGCTGCCTCCTGCACTCCCCCTACTGGGGATCGAGCAGCAACCAGGCATATGCCCTTGATCAGAATCGAATCCGGGACCCTTCAGTCCGCAGGCTGGCGCTTTATCCACTGAGGCAAACAAGCTAGGGCTTCACTTTGTTTTTTCTGTTTACTTCCAAGCTCCTTGAAAGAAAAATCTATAGTTGCTGCTACCATTTCCTCCCCTTTATGTACTATACCCTCAAGCCTGGCACGCAGTGTGTGGCACATTGTAGCTCTATGTGTCAGGTGTCTGCTGAAGCTGTTGTCTCAGTGTTGGCAGGGCTTCCTGATGGCACAGTCTAATCTGTTCAGCTTTATATCATCACTTTGTACCATTCAACTCCATGGGCTTCTCTCTTCTTTTCCCTTGACTTCCAGGATATGATCTCTTCTTAGCTTTTTATATAATCTCTGCTCTCCTTCACTTAAACTTATTCTTCCTTTGTCTGATCTTGAACCATGTTTTTCTCTGGATTCTATTGTTAGCCTTCTCCTCTTACTGTACCTGGAAAAGGTCATCCTCTTCCATAGCTTTGAGCGACACTTCTGTGAACATAACTCAGATCTACTTTTCCAGTCTTGACCTCTCTCCTGACCTCAAAAGCCATATTTCCAACATTCTGCTAGGCATCACCAGATCTATGTCCCAAACTGGCTGACAACTGCCCACCCTTTTCCAAAGTTGCTCTCTAGCAGGCCTCATTGCATTTAATGGCATTGCCATACTCTCAAGCCATCAAACTTGTTGTCAGATTTAACTGCTCCTTATCCAGTTCTGAGGTCCCACTGTCTCTCCTCATTCTCCATTTCCACTTCCACTGTGCCAGTTCAGACTTTCCTGTCCCTGACATGGACTTCTGCCTCTAATTATTTCTCTCTCTGATCCGGATAGCACACTGGTACTGGTATTTCTTTATCATTCACCTAAAATGTTTGCTAATTCTTCATTGTCTCCACAGTAAAGCCCAAGGATTTTTATTAATATGCCACCAATCTATATTTACTGCTTCATCTTCCACTGAATAGTCTTTATTTTAATAAACCCTAAGCTTTTTATCACACCTATTTACTGATTTGTGACTCATTTATTTTTCCACTATTTATCTTAAAATTTCTCTCATATACTTCTATATATCAGCTTAATCTTAGTCACCATCTGATCACTTGGAGACTCTTTCATTCATGTTTATAGGCTTAGTGCCTAGCTCTGCTTCTGATAAACACCAGACAATGTTAGTCGGTTAGTTGATTGGTTGAATGGATGGATCCATGGGTACATTTAAGGCTCAAGTCACCATAGAGGAACATCGATGTGAAAGAGATACATGGATCAGCTGCCTTCATATGTACCACAACCAGGGAGCGAATCACAACCTAGGCATGTACCCTGACTGGGAATCGAACATGTGACCTTCGTGTGCACGAGATGATGCTCCAACCAACTGAGCCATACTGTCCAGGGCAATATCTACTTTTTATTTCAGCACTAATACAAATGTAAATTTAAGAAATGTCAAAAAGATAGTTGACATTTTTCATGTCTCATTCTCTATTGAATTATTTTAAAACATGATATTTACTTATATAATGGCCACACAGCAAGCATCTATGAATTGAGACAGTATTTTAGCTGAAAATGTCTATCACATGCACTAGGTCTACATTTTCCTTTTGAAAATATCATTAGTGGCCAACTGTGGGCACAATAATCCTATTTGCGTATGCTAGGGAAGAGGAAAACAGTAACCTTCCCAAGATTACTAGTGACAAGTGAGGATGACCTCCCAGGCCTCATTGTTCTTACGACACTGCTTGTTCAATCTGGTTCTTTCCTAAGACAGATGTTATATTCGTTTACAACAATATATGATCAAGTCTACAAATGAGAAAGCAAATTGCCCTCATAGTAGAAGAGGCATATCTTTTCTAAATGAAAAAGAAATTTATATGAATTCTGTCTTGTTTTGGCATTTCCTTAACTCTTTTTAGGTTTTCTTCTTAGTGACAGCATTTTTTGGAACTGGGAATATAGCTTCTATTAACAGGTAATTTTAAATGAAAACAGTATATATATATATATATATATATATATGTGTGTGTGTGTGTGTGTGTGTGTGTGTGTGTGTGTGTGTGTGTGTAGCCAAAAAGTAATACAATTGTAATTTTTGTAATTGCTTTTATACTGAAGGATATATTGTGGAGATTGATGTATACCTCATTCATTTTAGTGGCTTCATAATGTTCCTTGTATGTTTGTGTTTTTAGTAAGTAGAGATTTTTAGAAAATTCATTTAAACATCCTTTTCAGTAGACATTCTTTTAAAGTTACAGTGTAAATTCTAAAATAATTTTTCTTTATATTGGTTCTTTAGCTTTGATCTTGCCTCTGTCTACTGCTTTCTGACTGTGTTTAGTCCTTTTATGATGGGAGCCCTGATGTTGTGGAAGGTTAGTTTTCTTATTTTCTTAAGATACTAATTAATTAATATGATGAACTCATTGTAACATTAAGATTATATAACATTATGTGACATTAAGGTTATATATAGTCATTGTGTCAAATTTAAATAGCATAGAAAGAAGATTCTGTCTCAGACACTGCAGAATGGGAAGTGGGGCCCTCCAGCCTTTACTCCAAAATATAACTAATCATTTTGCTTCACTCTTAAACTCATTAAACTTCAAAAAAGTAGAAATTCTGTGTTAGTCCCAGGAAGTGCTATCAAAGGTGATTAAAGCCTGTGAGGAAGTGCAGTACAGATCAAAACTGCTTTACTTCTCAAGATTTAAGGGTCCCCGGATCCATGTTCCCCAGCCTCAAGACTGTCGACCATATTAATCTTTTCCCAAATCCATGACCTAGAATTGATTCATTCATCCAACAAATATGTCATTGACTGCTTACATTCAGTAACATGCCAGGCACCAGCTAGGTGCTAAGGATACCAATATAATTCTCAGCTCATCAGGGGTTCATTCTCTTTGGTGAAATTTAATTAGTGTACTTTCCCTTCGTCTCTAGGGTCATTATGCTTGTCTTATTCTCTCTACCATAGTGCCTGGCACATTTTACATAGTTAGTACAGTCCTCCCTTGGAATCTGAGAGGGTTTGGTTCCAGGACCCCTCACCCACCCTGCAGATACCAAAATCTATGGGTGCTTCCGTCTCTTATGTAATATGGTGTGGCATTTGCATATACGTAACCTACACACATCCTCTTGATTACTTTAATCATCTCTAGATTATTTATAATAGCTAATATAATGTAAGTGCTAAATAATTTGTTATTATAATGTTTTGTTTAGTGAATAATGGCAGAAAAAAAGTCTATGCATTTTCAGTACAGTGCAACCATTATTAGGCCTAACTACATCTATATATATATATATATATATATATATATATATATCTATATATATATATATATATATAAGGCCTAACTACATCTATATATATAAAAGCCTAAGCAACCAAATGACTGGTGAACTGGTTGCTATGACATGCACTACCACCAGGGGACAGATGCTCAAGGCACAGGATCAGGCTCCCTCCTGTCTGGATCGGGCCTGCAGGGATCGGGCTGAAACCAACTATCCACCATCCCCCAAGGGGTCCCTGATTGTGAGAGGGTGCAGGCCAGGCCAAGGGACCCCACTGGTATATGAATCCGTGCACCAGGCCTCTAGTACATATTAGCAATAATGTAATTTTTCTCCCCAAATATTTTCAATCCATAGTTGGTTGACTCTGTAGATATGGAGGGCCAATTATATATATATATATTTGTTTAGATAAAGTGACTAATATCTACCAAAAATCTGATTGCCTTCTGTTCAGATCACAAAAGTAATAATTGTTAAAAGTATGTATCTCTTAATAGGATTAATATCCTTTTTTTGTTGTTGTTACTGCACTAATACAAATGTAACTTTAAGAAATGTTAAAAAGATGTTCATTATCTTGTGTCCCATTCCCTAGTGAATTATTTTAGAACATGTGCTTCCTTAATCTTATCTCTCTCCCTTCCTCTCTGTGAAAAATCAATAAAATATATTTAAAAAAAAAATAAAAAAAAAATAAAAAGTAAATAAATAAAAGCAAAAGTTTTCATTAGAATGCTAGACCTTTAACCTCTGTCCTCATTCAGTGAGCTTTACTTACATAATGCACCTGAAGACTCTCTCTGCTGATGTGGCTGGGAGCGAAGGTTGTCCTGAACTCCGTGTAGTCACATAACCTTCACTTGAAAAGGAATCTTAGGCAGTCTTGAACATTTCTTTTCCATATCGCCTCACTCTCCTCTTTTTAAAAATATCAAGTAATATATATTTTTTTATAAATTGGTCATTGGAAAACAGCATCTCAAAATATTATCAGTGTTAGCTCAGGGTTATGGATTTTCAACCTCTATAAATTTTATTACGCCTTTTTCATTGTTTTACAATTTTTTACAGTGATATGAATTTTATAAACATAAATAAATTAGTATTAACATAAAACAACCAAAGCAATGGTAAAGCAGCTGAATTATGTTTATGGAGTTATAATATCAAATAACCAGATGGGTTCAGGGATCAGTGAATCCAATTATCAGGTTCCAAAATTTATTTGATTTGGCCATTCTGTGCCTTTCACACCCTCTTCGAAGCATTTGAACATGGTCCTTAATATAAGTAGTTATGTGGAACAAAAATTTGTAATAGATTTTATTTGGAATGTGTTGATATTTGTTATTTTTTATATTGCATATGCTGTTGATGTAGATTTTAAAATCAGCTTCATCACTGTTCTGTGTGTCATTGGTGTCATGGTTTTATTTCAGCATTCACTCTATACTAATATAGATAAAAGTTATTTGAGAAACTGAAATATTTCTATAAACAGGAATAACATTTATTTCAAAAAGCTTTTCATATGCTTCGGCTGTTCATGGCATCATTTTTTGTTCTTTTAAACAGATTTTTATCCCCTTTGTTCTGGTGATGTGTGCTTTTGAAGCCGTTCAATTAACTACCCAGTTATCATCAAAAAGGTAAGGTGAATATTTAAGAAACATTGGATTTGTACACTTTTTGGAAATGAGGATAAGCATTTGGGGGAATTTGGTGTGATTACTGTTAAGACACTGTAACATAGATTGTTTATTATAAAAATGAAAAAAAAGATACTTCACCCTTTTAGAGTTCAATTTCATTAGAGGAAATCAGTTGATCAGAGCCTCTGGTAGACAAATACACTTTCTTAACAATGAAATGTTATTAGAATATTATTAAAGCTAATGAAGAGCCTCCTTACAAAATAGTAAAACATAAATGTTAAATTTTTGTGGTGAATAACTTCTATGTTATAGATATAACTGTGCCTACAAAACAAATAAGGGATATCAGTCTGTTTAGGGGATTATTTCTTAAATATGTATTAGACAAATCTATTAACATTATTTCACTTTGCATGGCTTGAAATTAACTTCTAAATGTCAATAATATACATTGTTTCTTAGTCTTGATTTTTACACATTTGACAAACAGAATGGAAAGTACTCTTTCTGAGTTTGGGGGAATTTCTGGAGCAATCAGTCTTCAGCAATCAAGCCTCTGGAAGAGAAGCTGTCAACTCTATTATTTTCTTTTTTACCCAATAAAATTGCCTTATCAGCACTGGACTGAAAGACACGAGATAAATATGAAGCTTTTTAGCAGTTCTGTTATTCTTGAATCAAACTAGCATATTCAGTGCTGAAAGAAGTAACTAATATTAGAATAAATTTGCATGTTCTTCTTGATGAGTTTAAGCTAGAACTGGGCTTAGCATATTACTATGCATGTGCCATAATAAAAAAAAGAAACATATTTTTCCACTGTTTAAAAATAGTAGAAATCTGGTTTCTAGTTTTATTTTGTATATTTTTGCAGGATATTTACATAAAGTTAATATTGAAAGCATTTAAACCTTGTCAATATCACATAAAAGATAGTTACTTAGATGGAATAAAAACTGGTAACTAATAGGTACTTTCTTGCATTTATTAATGGGTACATTTTTTAGAAGAGATTTTAATTAATGTTTAAATCAAAAGAGCTGTGGCATTATGGAGTGAGAAATAGAAGGCTCATCAAAATGAGTGTATGTATGCATATGTATATTTTTGTGTTTGTGTGTGTGTACACATGCACGCCTGTATACACATGTGTGTATTAACTCTATCCTGAGACCAATGCAGTGAAAAACTGAACACAAAGGGAAAAACTGAGGCAAAGGTGACAAAGTTGAGGCTTTATAAATGTCTTCTCTTTTGCCCTGGCTGGTGTGGATCAGTTGGTTGGAGCGCCGTCCTGTGCACTTGAAAGGTTGTCGGTTCAATTCCCAATCGGGGCACATGCCCAAGTTGGGGATTCATCCCTGGTTGGGGTGCATGTGGGAGGCAGCCAGATGATGTTCTCTCACATCGATGTTTCTCTCGCTCTCCCACTCTCTCTAAAAATCAATAAAAAAATTTTTTTTAATAAAATAAATGATTCCACTTATACAGCATCTTGAAATGGCAAAGTTAAAGAAACAGGGAACACATTATTGGTTCCCAGGGGTTAGGGGCTGGGCAGGGCTCTGTGAGAGGAGGATCGGTGTGGCTGTAAAAGAGGACCATGAGGGAAGTGTAGTGATGGGAGCATTCTGTATCTTGACAGTATCAGTGTCAGTCTCCTGGTTGTGATACTGTACTATGTTTTGGTAAAATGTAACCATTGGAGGAAACTGGGCAAAGGATACATAGGATTCTTCTAATATGAAAAGAGCTTTTGTCAAAAGTAATATTTTCAGAAGCAAAAATACAGAATATTGGGTTATTTGACTATTCTCACTTTTATTTTAATGTGCTTTAAAAATGTGCCTGTTGTATTATGTGTAATTTTTCTTTTTTTTTCTTCAGTCTTTTTCTCATGGTTCTCGTCATATCAGACATTATGGCTTTGGTAAGACATTCTTGGATATTCAGTATAAATAAGATTGAGAAGCTAATTTAATCAAGATAAATATGAGTTCATTTCTATACATGAATCTTTAGATACTAAGTTATAAGTGCTGGAATAATGTACATATGTAAATTTCTTTCTATATGACTTATACAGTAAGAGTACTCTTGTTAAAGTCTGAAAAGTCTTCTTGATTTATTTTTCTTGTGTTTTGTTTTGTTTTTTTCTTTTTTTGAATCTCTCATGTTATACCTAGTCTTCTATGGTGCATTGTGTCTGAAAGAACTTCCATAGGAAGTTCACAGAAAAGCTAACTTTAGGTTTAGGCAATACATTATTTTTCTACTTGAAATGTCGATTATTTAACTATTTTCTCAGATTGAAAAAGAAAGGGAAAAGGAGGAGGGAGAAGTGGAAGGAAAGAGTAAGTGGAGCTTTTCAAGTGGGAAGATGTTATCAAAATGGTAGCACTAATAAATGAAGTCAGTGAGGAGCATGTAGGTGAGCCTTTTGTACGTAGTGTGTTAACAAAAAGAACCTATTTTACCTGCAAGTTTAGGGGTTCCCAACCCAGGGTGTACCCTCAGGTTGGATGATTCACTAGATGGACTCACAGACTCACTGAAGACAGCTATATTCACAGCTATGATTTATTGCGGGGAAAGGATGCAGATTATAATCTGCCCAGAGAAGAGACACAGAGGGCAGAGGCCAGGAGGGTCCAGGCACAGAGCTCTGTCGTCCTCTCCCTGGAGAGTCAGTACAGCATCCCTCTTTCAGCATCAGTGTGTGGCAGTACACAGAGCACTGCCAGCCATTGTCACCAGAGCCTTGTGTCCATGCTGTTCCCATGGCTGACCTTTCATCTCCATGACCGTTCAGTGACCAAGGGCCCAGGCATGACAGTCCAAGGGCCCAGAAAACACCTCTCAGGAGCTGGGCAAGAGACAGGCCTCTCTTTGGATATGGTTAAGTCTTTCCTATGCTAATCCTATGTAGAAGTGATTAGAGACAGCAATTGCAGTAACTTCTCACATTAGATTCCTAGTCATTTGATTGAGATGAGAGCATTTGTGTGTTGTATTGAACTGGATTTTCAGTACAGGCATACCTCACATATTTCAGGCTCAGTTCCAGACCACCTCAATAAAGCAACATCACGATAAAGTAAGCCATAATCTTTTTGCTGGGGGAGACTCTCTTGTCTTTAATTTATTTTTAAAAATCACACACACACACAATATCTGTGAAGCACAATAAAGCGAAGTAAAATAAAATGAGGTATGCCTCTATCTGTCTGAAATTGACCACACATAACGTTAGAGTAAATCAGCTTTCAGTTTTACTCACAAAGTGGCAATAGGCAAGACAGATTAACAGAAGGGAATTTAAATTCTCTGATTTCTAATTTTATATAAAGAGTCAAATTGTTTAATTTAACTTAGAAAGTGATTTGTGTCTAGCTTCTGCTTACTCCATAGGCATCATCTCTCACTTGTCTCTCCTGTTTTCTCTACCCCAGCCACACCTTGGACCTGCCAAGCTCTATCTGGACTGTTGACAGTTATATAGTTTACTCCCTCTGTCAGAAACATACTTCTCACATCTCCCCAATCTCATCTTTCATCTGACTCTTACTTTCACTTAAATTTTTAGACTTTTTAATGAGCTGCTTCCCCTTATATTCCAGGCAGGGTGTGTTCCCCTTCTTCTGTGCCCCTTAATGGCCTGAGTTTTCTAGTGATCACACTCATCACACACACACACACACACACACACACACACACACACTCACACTTGGTAACTTGACTGCATCATTCACCGGATTATGCACCCTCTGAAAGAGCATTTACTTCCAGGACCTAACACAGTGACTAGCACATAGTAGGTGGTCAGTGAATATTGGTTGATGGATGGATGATATGATGATATGGCTTCTTTTCACTGAGGTATTTGGTATTATTTAATGCCTTCTATAAAAGTTGATTTTCTTTATTTCTAGTTATTAACAAAATTCACTTTTGCATTCATTTGATTGAATGGTAATGCTATTTCTGGCTCTTAGACGATGGCATGTTTTAGTCAAAGCAAAAATTTAAATAAGAGACAAATTCTTATTGATTCCAGTCATATAGTGGTTCTGAGGGGTCAGAAATCTGAAACACATAATCCTAAAACAACATTGTTTTTCCAACTAAATCTAAACAGCCTTTGTTTTTCATGAAACCATCTTTTGTTTTATTTTACAGCATTTTTTCTTCTTGGTCAAGGATTATGGCAGCTGGCTTGATATTGGAACAAGGTTAGTATATATTCACACAGAAATTCTTAACAGTCCAGTGGAAAAAGTAAATTGATATCTTAGTATGTATGGAAGATGCCTAATTGATTTTTGAGGTAAGCATAGCAAGTAACAGTTATTTTAAGCCTCAGGAAGTGAGACCTATCTCTCAAATTCTTGGCACTAACATATTAGCAAATGTTTTCTTGGGATGACATGTGATCAGCTGTTAAGTGTGGAGAGAAGGACAGGACAGCAGGAAGGTGCAGGGACACAGCCTGAATCTGGGAGTTCAGAGATCACTCCAAAATCTGTGTTCTCATCATCATTCCATCTCTCTTTAGAAAAATGAAACTGTTCAGTTTACAGTGTGAAATTTATTTGGCAGTTTTAATTGGAGGATGGGTTATTTTGCTACAGAAACACCTCACACCTGGAGAGAAGCCAAGTTAAGCAGGAACTGAGAAAAATTAAGGATTATTGAGGAAGGTATCAAATTGGTATGATAATTAGTATTAAAATGTCATTTATTGACCAGTGTATTTTGAGTTGTAGGTATATTATTTCATTAATTCTCATGACAGTAATGCAAAGAAAATAGAATTATTTCCATTTTACGGAGGATGAAACTGGCTCCAAAAGATTAGGATTACACAATAATGTGACATTGTATATGCATTTAATATATAGATCATCTATAATAATAAAAGCATAATATGCTAATTAGACAGATGTCCTTCCAGACGACCTTCTGGACAAAGTCAGGGCTGTGAGGGAAGCCCGGGTCCTGGGTGCCAGAGGGAAGCTGGTGCCGGCAGCGGGGGGAAGGAAGGGCCTACTGTTGCACTAATTTCATGCATCAGGCCTCTAGTTTCTTCAGAAAAAACATCACATAGTGGATACTCACAATGTGTAAAGTATTCTCAGGCATTGGCAAGGACCCAAAAGTGAATGAAATTGCCAGCCTCGAGGCTTAGTGATGCCCTGTGGCTGGAGAGAGAGACTCACTCATCAGGATGTGGGGAATTTAAGCTCTGAGTGGAGGGACCTAATGTATAACTTGTGAGGGTGAGGGTCGTTCCAGCCGGAAAGCATCTGATTGACACCTGGCCCTGCATTCAGGGAGATTGTGGTCTAGCACAGGCTCCGGAGCATGATAATTACAATGCAAGCAGCACCGGGTAAGGGCTATGTGAATACTGAAGGGAGGCCAAGGCCACTTCAGGCTTCAGTGACTGAAAAAGCTGTGCAATGTCTGCATTTAAGCTGGGCCTTCAGTGGAGGATATAATTTCAATTAGTGGACTCAGAGGTTTGCAAAGAGTATTTTAGACAGACAGAATGGATATGGGCAAAGCTATTGAGGTGGAAAAGCCCAATGCGTGTGTTTGTGAAGTGGGATAAATTACTTGGATTTCAGAAACCATACGTTTTCTAGAAATTTCTAGAAAACATCCTTTGAGACCCTTAAATTGGACTCCCTTGCATACAAAGCAACAGTGTACATTCTACTGGCCTATAAGTGAGGAGCCATATTTTTTGGTTCTACTTGAACTTTGGTATTTTGGATGTCACTTTCACGAGTGAATCATTGCCTGGGAGTTAGGAATCTTGACTGCCTTTGTTAAACAAGTTTACTCCAGGGTGAGGTGGGGGAGGGAGGGAAGGGACTGTGTCTGGAAGTGGAGGCACTGGCTGAGTTAGCGCTGCCAGGGTCATTACAGCATTGTCCTATGGGTGCCTGGTGTCACAGCCTTAACAGTCAGTCTTCAGTTCTCTTTCCATTCCCTGGAAGTCACTCTGTACTGCCAGGCATGGCTTTTTCCTGCTTCCTGCAGTTTCACCTCCTATGCTGGGAGGCCCTTCACTAACTTTCACTCTCATTTTCCTAGATAGATTTTTTTTTCTTTTTAAAAAATTATGGTGATGTTTGGGTCAAATAAACTCACAAAAATTCTTTTAAAAAAACACCAAAAAATTATTCTATATAATAAAAGGGTAATATGCAAATTGACCCTAACAGCAGAAAGACTGGAAATGACTGGTCACTATGACACACACTGACCACCAGGGGGCAGACGCTCAATGCAGGAGCTGTCCCCTGGTGGTCCGTGCGCTCCCACACGGGGAGCTCTGCTCAGTCACAAGCCAGGCTGACGGCTGCCAGCACAGCAGTGGTGGTGGGAACCTTTCCCACCTCCTCATCAGCCTAAGCAACTGCAGCTTAGGCCTGCTCCCCACTGGCAAGTGGACATCCCCCGAGGGCTCCCGGGCTGCCAGAGGGATGTCTGATTGCCATCTTAGGCCCAATACCCTGGAGAGCGGGCCTAAGCCAACAGGTGGTCATCCCCTAAGGGGTCCCTGTGCGAGAGGGCACAGGCCGGGCTGAGGGACCCCGCCCCCTCCCCGAGTGCACAAATTTTTGTGCACCGGGCCTCTAGTTCTATATAATAAAAGTATAATATGCAAATCAACAGAATAACTGGTTGGCGGGGGGTGTGGCCAGTGAGCAGGCAGCGCCAAGACCAGCCAAGGTGCATGCCAGCGGGCAGAGGGAGGGGATGGCAATGAGGGGGTGGTTGACCAGCGTTGGCAGAGGGGTGATGGGGGGGTGGGGCTGGCCGCTCACCGGCACTGTCCCCTGATCAGCCCACCCAGTCGCCTTCTGCAGAGGGAGGCCAGACTGCGGCTTACCGCTGGTCAACCACCCCCTCATAAGCCATCAGTTGGATATCCCCTGGCATGCACCTTGGCTGGTCTTGGCTCTGCCTGCTCACTGGCCCCACCCCCCGCCAACCAGTTATTCTGCTGATTTGCATATTATACTTTTATTATATAGAACTAGAGGCCCGGTGCACAAAAATTTGTGCACTCGGTGCGGTGGGTCCCTCAGCCTGGCCTGTGCCCTCTCACAGTCTGGGACCCCTCGGGGGATGACCATCTGCTGGCTGAGGCCTGCTCCCCAGGGGATTGGGTCTAAGCTGGCAATCAGACATTCCTCTGGCAGCCCGGCAGCCCTCGGAGGATGTCCACTTGCCAGCGGGGAGCAGACTTAAGCTGCAGTCGGACATCCTTAGAGCTGCTGAGGAGGCAGGAGAGGCTCCCACCACCACCGCTGTACTGGCAGCCATCAGCCTGCCTTGTGGCTGAGCAGAGCTCCTCCATGTGGGAGCTCACAGACCACCAGAGGGCAGCTCCTGCATTGAGCATCTGCCCCCTGGTGGTCAGTGTGTGTCATAGTGACCAGTCATTCCCAGTCTTTCTGCTGTTAGGGTCAGTTTTCATATTACCCTTTTACTATATAGGATAGAGGCCTGGTGCATGGGTGGAGGCCGGCTAGTTTGCCCTGAATGGTGTCCCGGATCAGGGTGGGGGTCCCGCTTGGGTGCCTGGCCAGCCTGGGTGAGGGGATGATGGCTGTTTTCAGGCTGCCTGCACCCCCTTCAGGGTGGGGACCCATTGGGGTGCCTGGCCAGTCTGGATGAGGGGCTAATGGCTATTTTCAGGCTGCCCGCACCCCCTTCAGGGTGGGGGTCCCCACTGGGGTGCCTGGCCAGCCTGGATGAGGGGCTGATGGCTGTTTTCAGGCTGCCTGCACCCCCTTCAGGGTAGAGGTCCCCACTGGGGTGCCTGGCCAGCCTGGATGAGGGGCTGAGGGCTGTTTTCAGGCTGCCTGCACCCTCTTTAGGGTGAGGGTCCCCACTGGGGTGCCTGGTCAGACTGGATGAGGGGCTGATGGCTTTTTCAGGCTGCCCGCACTCCCTTCAGGGTTGGGGTCCCCACTGGGGTGCCTGGCCAGCCTGGATGAGGGGCTGATGGCTGTATTCAGGCAGGCCAAGCCTGCAACTGAAGCTCCCAGTCTCTCCCTTTTTTTCTTTTTTTTTATTCTGGGATTTATTTACCTTCTGTAATTGAAACTTTGTTGCCCCTCCAGCTCTGAGCCTGCCTGGCTGAAAGCAGGTATCTGGGGTTTGTTTAGCTTCTATAATTGAAACATTGTTGCATCCGGAGCTCAGAGCCAGGCTGCGCAGGCGGGGAACCTTGGCTTGCTCCATCGCCGGGGCAACCATGCCTCATGTTCGCTTCAGCTGTGTGGCTGCCGGCCGCCATCTTGGTTGGCAGTTAATTTGCATATCACCCTGATTAGCCAATGGGAAGTGTAGCGGAGGTATGGTAAATTACCATGTTTGCCTATTATTAGATAGGATCATAAGATTTACCATCTTAACCATTTTTAAGTGTATATTTCAGTATTAAGTATACTCACATTGTGCATCCAACCTCTAGAACTTCTTTATCTTGCAAAACTAAAATTCCTTATTTGCCCCTGCCCCAGCCCCAGGCAACCGCCATTCTCTTTTCGTCTCTATGAATTATGCTATTCTAGGTACCTTATCTAAGTGGAATTACATAATATCTGTCCTTGTGTCACTGGCTACTTTCACTTAGCATAATGTTCTCAAGGTTCAGCCATGTTGTAGCATGTGTCAGGATTTCTTTCTTTTTGAATCCTGGAACATTCTGTTGTATGTATATACTAGGGATCCAGTACACGAATTTGTGCACCTTGAAAGGAACTGTGGACTGCAAGGCTGTGATGGGCACAGGGGCGGGTCTGGGCCCATTCTCTGTGCCCCCAATCGGCCCCTCCTGCTACGGCCCCCAGTCCCCTGTCTGCCGTCAGCCCCGCTCCTGCCGCTGCCACTCCCACGTGCTGACAGTGCCAGCCCCGCTCGTACCCACTGATGGTGCCGAGCGATTGGGGCCAATGCTAGCAGCGGGTGTAAGCAGGGCTGGTGCCATCAGTGGGTGCGAGCGTGAGTGGCTGCCCCGAGCGCCCCTCAGGAGCAGGGGGAGGTGGAGAAGCCCTCAGGAGCAATTGGGGCCTGCAGCTGCCGCTCGCACCAGCTGAGGTGCTGAGTGATCGGGACTGGCGCTGGGCGCCGGCAGAGAGTGGGATTGGCAGCTCCGGTACCAGCTTGCAAGTGCAAGTAGGGTTGGCGCTGGCAATGGGTGCAAGCG